GCCTACAAATGGGCTTTGGGTCTCCACTCCGCACTCCCCACCTCATTCACTATGGTAAGATTTTTTGTTCTGATGATGCCTGATACCTGATCCCTTTCATTTCAGTTTTGTGTTAAGCCCCAAAGTCTCTCATAAATGAGATAATTATGAGAATTATGTAATTCCTTAAAGTGTTCAAAGAGCTAAAAATATTGTGAGAACAATTGCTGTAAATTCAGCAGAAGCAGAAAGGAGTTTTTCAAAGATGAACATACTATGTTCAGAGAAGAGAAGTTGCCTCTTTTAATATATCAAACATAATGACTATTATTTAATTGACCTACCTCTAAAGGTATGGGATTCAACTCCTACAGTGAAAAGATGGTTAAGGAGAAATCCAACAGCCAATGATGCTCAAATAAAAGCAAAGACTATTCCAAGTAAGGATACCAATCAAGAAGCAATATGGAAATATCTTAAATAATGATTTCATTGTTTTTTTCAGGTATTATTTAATATTTTTTCATTAATATTTTAAAACTCTTATAGTCTAGTTTTGTGTATCACTTTTATTATTATTAAGTACTAACTGTATGAAATAATAAACTACCTTTTGGTATATCTCTTTTAATACTCAAAACAATTGATAGGGCAGTGAACTGGTTGTTAAGTTATTTTAATTCAACCACTGAGTCTCTAGGGCACAGAGACAAACAAACAAACTTGCTTTTTCACTTTGACAATTCAAGGCTAGTAAGCAGTATTTTATCACTGTTTTTCTTAGAGTATTGATATTTACAGGCCAATGTGTTTTTGCAATTAAGTTTCCTGCCCCGGACCCTTAAGTGTTTCCTTTCAGGGTTTCTTCTTAAGGTAGGCATGAGTCAAATGACTAAATATGGTTTTTCATCTTTAGATTTTGTAACAGCCTGAGGAATTAAGGTACCTCCTCCATGTTACACTTAAACATACTGTAATAGTTGGGTTTATTGTGCCAGCTAGGCCAATGTGAACATGTAGGAGAGGTTTGGTTGGGTTGCAGCTTGATTGGAAGAGAACCGAAATAAATAAAAACAGCATCTCATCTCTCTCTTGCTCCCTGGTGATCAGATCATAGTACTGCTGCTTTAACTAGTTCTCTGCCTCAACCTGTGAGCTACACTACCTTTGGAGCAAGACAACCTGTGGATCCTGTCATGTTGCTAGAGCTTAAGCCTCCTTTGAGACCTGCTTCACCATGCTACTGGTGCATACATTACTTGAGTTTGGGGCTGGTGGATCCTGTATCTGTGCTTGAGTTCAAGATCCCAACAGGACCTGCTTCGCTAAGCTCCCACCTACTGACTGTTGCTGACCCACCTGCTGTCTTCTGCCTTCGGGCAGACTCTTCCAGCCTTTCCTGAGGGAAGACTCTGCTGTCTACTTTCTTGACCTTGGACCCAGCAGCCCATGAGTTGAAAGGCTTCCAGGATATTAATCATTCCATAAAAGTGAGTTGAACTGAGCTTTGTTGGCTAATTAGCTGTTATATTTCTTCTCACTGTAAATATATATATTCATAAGTGTCCTGGTTTTGTTTCTCTAGAGAACCCTGCCTAACACACATATATAAATAAATGTGGTACTACACAAGCCCTACCCTGGCAACAAGCCTCAGGAAAAGAGGGAGCATGGTCCAGTCAATCATGCATTTTCCTTTTTTTTTTTCCTTAAATACTTTTATTGGGGGCTCTTACATCTTCCATCACAATCCATGCATTCACCCATTGTGTCAAGCACGTTTGTACATATGCTGCCATCATCATTTTCAAACAATTTTCATTTTACTTGAGCCCTTGATATCAGCTCCTCTTTTTTCCCCATCCCCCCACCCTCCCTCCTTCATGAACCCTTGATAAGTTATAGATTATTATTTTCATGTCTTACATAGTCCTATGCCACCCTTAACCCACTTTTCTGTTGTTTGTCCCCCTGGGAGGGGGGTTATAGATTGATTCTTGTGATCGATTCCCCTTTTCTCCCCCCACCTTCCCCTTATCCTTCTGGTATCTCTATTCTTATCATTGGTCCTGAGGTGTTTAACTATCCTGGATTCCGTTTGTTGTGGGCTCTTATCTGTAGCAGTGTGCATGTTCTGGTCTAATCTGATTTGTAAGGTAGAATTGAGGTCATGATAGTGCAGGAGAAGAAGCATTAAAGAACCAGAGGAAAGTTGTGTGTTTCATTGATGCTATAATGCACCTGGTTGGCTCATCTCTTCCTTGTCACCGTATGTGAGGGGATGTCCAACTGTCTACAGATGGGCTTTGGGTCTCCACTCCATGCTACACCCCCCACCTATTCACATTGGGTATGATTTTATTCTGGGTCTTAGATGCCTGATACCTGATTCCATCGATACTTCGTGATCACACAGGCTGGTGCGCTTTTTCCATGTGAGCTTTGCTGCTTCTCAGTTAGATGGCCACTTTTTATCTTCAAGAAAAGCAAAAGGAAATAGAGGAAAGAAGCAGGAGGCAAAGGACATTTATAGAGGTCTAAATTCCAGCATGTACACATGTAAATATATTTATATATAATGAGAGGGGTATAAATGTATGTATTTATATCTATATGTCAAGAATTAAGGTTGTAGGTGGACATTGGGCCTCAACTCAAGTACTCCCTCAAGACAAGAACACTTTGCTCTAATAATCCGGCATTCTGGTGCTCACCTTCCTGGACATGATTGCTGAAGACAAAATTGGTGCTTATGCAAATGTGGCGAAGAAATCTGATGGTGTCCAGCTATCAAACGATATGGAGTCTGGGGTCTTTAAGGCTTGAAGATAAACAATCATGCATGTTCCTACACTGGATTGGTTAAATTATGAGTAAGGCCTCAATCCTGCATGCTCGAGGCCCCAACAACTAAGAGTCTCTAGACCTTGAACACTTTTTGGGGCTTGAGTAGTAAGAACATCGAGGTACAGGAGAGAGTGCAGACCTTGCCTGATGAGCATCTTTGCTTATATGCCTTCTGTTTATAAAAGGGTAATGTTAAGTGTAGGTGATGATTTTTGTGAATCCCATGAGCTGATATAGAAAAACAACTAACCCACAGGGGCAATGAATCAGCAGGGGCGAGTAGGATAAAGTTATTTTGTGTAGACCTAGCTGTGTGTGACCAGGAAAGGCAGCATGGACAGTTGACTGAGCTTGTGTGCTAGTCTTAGGGGATGAGAAAGACAGAGGGAGACAGAGACCCAGGGGTCTGAAGTATAGGGAATAGCAGACTTCTGAGTCTATGTCTGGTCCCCAGTGACCTGACTCTGGGTGGCAGAGATGAAGTATGACTTTAGGTGGCTAGGATCAGAAATAGGAGGTGCTACAGAAGTGGCTGGCAAAGAGGAATGGAGATGTGGGAAGGTGAAGCCTGGGTCCAGTCCTAGATGGAAAGCAAATTCATGTTGATTCTTACAGTTAGAGTTAGGTAGGGCTTTGCCACCTGTCACCCTTTCTACATACATAACTCTTTGTTAAGCAACATCAATTGATAATCTTGGGTAATAAAGGTTATGGGCATGAGTGTGTATATGTATGATTCGCAAAGCTCTTTAGTACCATATGCAAAAGTCCTCATTAACTTCCCTTTTTATACTCTGCTGTATGTGTGCACGGTAAGTCTTTAGCAATTGCATATTTGGTTGAAGTTCCATACAATATGATTTAACAACCAGCAGCCTAACTACTGAGATATTACTTGATTTCTTAAAGTGATAAATAAGATTATTATGTGCAAATAAAAAGAACTTGTGTTCTTGCTGCATCGGAGTTTATTTTACAAAGCTATAATACAGGCTGGAATCCTACAGCTTGAGGTACCGCTTCTTTCTGTGGCTGGAGAAGAATGTAAAGGGCCTAAAGGGGACTCTGGCCCTGGCTCTACTGGGCTTCCCAGCTGTGTCCCTTAAAGGAATTCATTCATCAGTGAGTTGGGCAATGCTTCTGTCAAGGGTCCTTGGGGGCTTTCTCACATAAGACTCTCTGAATCTGGGGACATTGGATATCAGCCTGCCAAGTCGGGGCCTGGGCCCTGGGGAAGCAGAAGGCTGTGAATTGTGCTGAGAGCTTGGGGCCATGAAGGAGAGGGGGTGGGGGGAGCCTGATCTTCCCTTTGTTCTGCCCTGAGTGCTCCCAACTGAGGGCCTTTAGTGTAATTTAATGGGGCAAGATGGCTAATCCAGGAAGGCCCAGCCCACTTCTACAGAGATCCAGCTCTGAATGAGCTCCTCCTGTGCCCCTGGATCGAGGAGATCATGGAAGCAGCTCCCAGTCAGTTCCTTCTTCCCTTAAGAATTTAAAACCAACATGGGAAGCCAGGAGTGTCCCAAAGACTGTCTCCTAGAGAAATTGATTACCCTGAGCACCTGCCTAGTCAGGAACTTCCCAGCAGTTTTCAGCAGCAGGCAGTTTGGGAGTACTCAGTCCATCTTCTGGGCCTGGAGGCCCGTCTTCCAGCAGGCTTGGTGGCTGGAGCAGTCAGCCATTGAGTGCACCTTCCCCAGGTGCTACCTTCTCTTGCGTGTACAGCTTTCCAGGCGGCTTAGCTCCTCATAGGAGTGGTAAAAAGTGTCAAACTCTCTGGCACCCCAACCCCTCCAGACAGCCAGGCACCACTCCGAGTTCTCGTTTTCAAAGCCACACACCACGATGTCTTTGGCCACCACAGCTGCGTCCACAAGTACCCTGCAGAGAGAGAAGCTCTACGTGAATTTGAAAGGCCTCTCCAGCCAGGACCTCCCTGCACCACGTGGAGATGAAAGTGGAGATGAAATTGCATATATAAGGGGCATGCATGCAGCCTAGCTGGGCACTGTGGACATGTCAATGGGCAGCTGTTAGTCCCCAAGCTCGTGAAGTCTCAGAATGGACTGAGGGTGTCACGTGATGTGTCCTTGACTGGAAGGACTCTGAAGCCACTAGAAAAGGCATTCTCTGTGACCAAGTGCCCATAAGTCATCATCTTGAACCTCTGTTCATGTCCTGCCCCGTGCCTTTCACACCTCTGTGGAAACCATGTCCACTGGCAGGGACTGGCCTCCTAACTTCAGCATCCACATGCTATACAAAGCAAACTAAATCTACTGCCACCGAATTGATTCTGACTCATGTGTTACAGAGTAAAAGCACCTTATGTAGGTTTCTTGGCTGCACTACTTACAGAAGCAGAGTGGTAGCCTATTTCCCTTTCCAATGCCCAAACCTCTGGGGTAGGAATTGTGTGTAAACTGTGTGTACCACCCAGGGACCTTTACATGGTGGATTTGCTACCACAATTATCTGAGGGCATGAAGTTCTCAAAGGGCTGGTGGTAGCCTCTTACTGTACCTATTTAAGTATGCCCAGGTCTTTGTGAATAGAATATGCCCTAGGTGACAATTCAGGGTCATGAATGGCAGGCAGGGTAATTTCAACAGAGCTGGGCTGGGCAAAGCACTTGCTCCTAGAGATTAAGGTGACCAGATTTTAACATTGGTAAAGCGGGACACCATTGATAAAACTCATATCCTGGCGAAATAGCCACATGGCAGCCGAAAACCATACACCCTAGCTTGTCGTGCATTTTTCCCAAAAATCTGGACTTTTAAAAAATGCCATGGGCATGGGAAAAATTGTTAAAAATCGGGACTGTCCCACCAAAAGCGGGACGTCTGGTCACCTTATCCTAGATACCCACCTGCAAGCAAGAACTATATCATTCCCAGGCTGTCATCCACAAACTTGGCTGGGCTCGGAAGCAAACCTGAACCTGTTCCTACAAGCCCGCCCTGAGCATGAGTCACTGGTCTTGCCCACAGCCTTAGAAAGCTGCTTTCAGGAAGACAAGGAGGCAGAATTGCTCGGGATGTTCCCTTTGTCATTGTCTTTCTCTGGAGGAAATAACCACAGCTGTAATAGTAAACCAACTGATTTTCCAGCAGACATTGTGATAAATCAAGTTACAAAGAAACAGACCAAGGGTTACATCGAAGTGCTCCATCATGCCCACACATGCATGCACACACAGAGGAATACATGCATCCACGCACAGAGACACACAGATTTGCATGGATGGGCTTTTTACCAGGAAGACTTATTGCAAGTTGTCTGGCAGTTGGGGCCTGGGGGGAAGCACTACTGGTTGCTGAGGCTATTAGAACTCCTACCAGTGGTTGTCCATCACCCCACCTTACACATTTCCAGCCATGCGTATGTCCTGGACAGGCTGTCCTGGTCCCACCTAAGCCTCAAATTGTAGTCTAGGCATCCCAGGAAGGACTCCCCTGCTTGGAAGGAGGGAACGTGAATTATCTAGATTCCCACTTCAATTGAAGCTGGTACGTCCACAGGTAGCATTTGCTGAATCCTTAGCAGCTGCCCAGTTGACCCCAGCTTGCTTCTTTGTTGCCTTAGGGTCAAGTTGGTGGCTGCTGACATTTAGTTGTGGGGATGAGTGGGGCAAAAGAGAAAAGAAAAAGAAAAAACCAACAACCAAAACAATTAAAACCCCCCAAAACCATTCTGTAGGGATTCCCGATGTTTCAACTTACCCATGCAGAGCCAGTTCCCGAGCCTTTAGCAAAGCAATAACTCGGCCCTGCTGGACACCCGACTCCTTCTCCAGGCCGATTATGAGAATATCTCCACCATGCCTAGAAAAGCAAAACCCTGCACTAGACACGAGGGCTCTGCTCCTGGATGAAGTTACCAAGAGAGCACAGAAGTTGAGGCTGGGAAGAACTTTCCTATGAAGACATTTAATCAGGAGCGGTCATGGTTCACAATACGCTACACTTGAGCGCTCTATCCTGAAGAGATCACTGAAGATATGGGTGGTATAGCAATGTGCGTGAAGGAATCGCATGGTTCCTGGATGTTAGAAATAATAGTGTCTGGGGTCTTAAAGGGTCTTTAAAGTGAGGCATCAACTAAGTCTACGTGGAAGAAGTGCAGCATTAGCCTGTGTGATCCAGGGATTGTTAAGGTTTACAGAGGGCTATGGATGACAGTAGAAGTCCAAAATCCATTTGCAGGGCTCTCACATAGATTAAACTTCCAGCGAAGCCCCTCTGACCATAAATGAGGAATGTGAATAGCCTTGCTATCAGACAGAATGCATTGTAAAGCCAATTATGGCAGATATAGTTAGGTTGAAATGTAATACTTTATCCTTTGATTTCCCTTTTGACTCATTTTAAAGTTGCTTCAGTTTTTAATATTTTTGCTTTTTTTGACTGAGGTTTTTCTATGTTTTGTCTAGTCATTGTTGGTTTTTTTAGATTGTCTGCTTCCTGTTTGTGTTTTGTATGCTTTTCTCTATATGAACTCCATGATAGGTAGATCGACAGAGAAAATAACTGGACTGATAATTACCTAGGGGTATGGCAGAGGAGGAAAAGTGGGGAATGGGGAACTAACAACATGAACAGGAGAAGGAAATGTCTTGAATTGATTGTGGCGATGATTAAATTGTATGATATGTGAGGGATATGTTAATAAAACTATTAAACAACAGAAACAGAAAGAACGTGAGCATTAGTACAGTCTTATCAAAGGTGCTTCACTGGAAGTTTAATCTACGTGAGAACCCTGCAAATGGATTTTGGACTTCTACTGTAATCCATAGCCCTCTGTAAACCTTAACAAAAGTGACTGCTCCAGAGTCCAAATTGGGAAGTGTCTGGGGTGAGGGGTGGGCTGGGCTGGATCCTCCATAGAAGACAGTGCTGGAGAGATCTCGATGTTATCTTTAAAGATGTCTTCCCAGCTGCTCTCACGTCAACTCCGACTCCTGGTGACTATGAGGGTCAGAGTAGAACTGTGCTCCATAGCACTTTCAATGCCTGGGCTTCAAAAGTAGATCACCAGACTTTTCTTTTGATTTGCCTCTGGGTGGACTCAAACCTCCAACCTTTCAGTTAGCAACCAAGCACTGAACTGTTTGTACCACCCAGAGACTCGAAAGAAATCAAAGTGCCTCTCGTTCTGCCCCACTATTCAGTGTGACCGCTGCAGGTGTGTCCAGTTTGGCAACTTACCTGGGAACCCAAATGAGGTCTTTCACAGTGAGAATCTTCATGGCCTGTAGGTGCTGGCTAAAGGTAGCCCTGATCACAGTATTCAGGTCCTGCTCAGATGGGTCTGAGTAAGCACCAGGATCATACTGCCTCTCTGGGTCCTCATAGTCACTGGAGAATGGCATGTTGTAAGAGCTTACTGGGGAGCTGGGCAGGCTTGTGGGGGACCAGGCAGTCTGGTGGGGTGGGGAGGCAGAGGGAGAGGACATGGAACAGTAGTCCGTCATTGAGTCCTGGTGGGCCAGAATCTGAGTACCAAGCTCTTTACTGTACATGATGCTCACATCTGCCAGACCATCTCCCTTGGGCTTCTGTAGGCTGGCTTCTAGGTTGCCTGCTGGCTCCAGGCCTACTGGGTGCACCAGAAACTTGTCCTGCAAGGGGTTGGGGTCTCCGCAGAAGTACCGGGCACACAGCTGATAAGTGCCTGAGTGGTACATGACCAATGAGTTGGCTTTGTCATCCAGGCACCAGACAACCTCCTCACCCCCGCAGTCAGAGCTGCATGTAATTGAAGTGACCACTGAAGGGGCTAAGTAGGGCTCTAGCCGCTGGCAGATCTCCAGGGTGAAGCAGTTGACGATCAGCAGGCCTGGCCCGTTGGTGTACCAGACCTCAGAGCCGCTGTTGACCACTTCCATGGCCCTCACAGGGTAGGGGTTCTGCCTCGCGTCCTCATCTGGGATGCTGAACTTGGACCTGTTGGCTGTGTGGGAACATAGGTAGGAGCAGCTGTCATCTGGGACACTTCCTCGTGCCATAGGAAACACAGCCACAAGCCCATCTGCCAGGCCGGCCAACACTAGGTAGGAGTTCTGTGGAGAGAGAAAAGGATCGTGGCACGTCAGAACAAGGTGGGCTTGAGATGGGGTTCCAGGTACCCAACGAGGCATCTTGCTCTCCACTGGTAAGCCCAATTTTATTTTTTTAACCACTTCTTGGAATTTTCCTTTTTTAAAAAATTATTAATTGGGAGTGAATGCATATAGCATTCCATAGTTCAATCACGTCAAGAATTATACAATTGCTACCTGTATGGCCAGATCAATACCAGGCTGGCTTCTAGCAGCAAGTGACCTTGAGTCTCCCCCACCCATGCGGAGCTGACCAGAGCTAGCTGAAACAACTAGCAGCCAGTGGCCTTGAATCTCCCACACACACCTGCGGAGCTGACCAGAGCTGGCTAATGGCCCGCTTTGGTCTCAACTTGCCGCTCTGCACCCGGCACCGGCACGGCCCCTTTGGCTCAGTGCCCACTTTATTCTTGCCCACCACTCTGCACCTGGCACAAATACACCCGGAACCAGGAAGACATCTTACATTCCAGAAACCCGGACACACCTGTCCATATAAGTAGCAGCCCTGTAGCCTGCAGTGCGACTCCCCCAGCCCAGACGTTGTGGACTGTGGGACTTCGCCCAGGCTGGGTTTTTCTCCCTAATAAAGCCTGTTTGTTCTAATTCGACTGATTTGGTTTCTGGCACCTCTCGACTACCTTACACTACCATAGTTTCCTAACATTCTTTTTTTCCCTAGACTTCTTGACGTTGTCTCCTTTTTACTGCATCCCCACCACCACACCTCCCCCTCCCCCCAAACCCTTAGTCTACTTGCTATCTTGATAGGTTCACCAATCCTGGCTTTCATACACTGAAAGACAGAACATATAACACAACTTCATGAGGGTGTGGCTTAAATACCTTTAAATGCCTTAAGATACCATTTAAAGGTATTTTCCTTTGAAAAATAAAAGACCATTTTTATTATTTTTAATCTCCCATTTCTCCTTCCCCCACCCCTGATGACCACTAACGAACTTTGGTCTCTAGGCTTTGCCGATTCTAGATATTTAGTGTAAGTGAAATCATACAGTATTTGTCCTTCTGTGTCTGACTTAGAAATAATTCTCCACATTGCTTTCAAGGTTTAGTTATGTCATAGTATTATCAGTACTTCATTTCTCTATATGGCTGAACAATATCCCATTGTATGTATATGTTATTTTACTTATCCATTCATTTGGCGATGAACATTTGGGTCATTTCTACCTTCAGGCTATTGGGAATAACCATTGAGTGCTATCTAGTCAGGTCTGACTCATATTGACCTTAGAGAATGAAACACTGCGCAGTCCTGGGCCATCCTCACAATTGTTGCTACACTTAAAGGCCTTCTTTTTCCTTTTTGCTAACCCTCGACTTTTCCAAGTCTGATGATCCCGGGGCTGGTCCCTCCTGATATCATGATCAAAGTGAGATGAAGTCTTGCTATCCTTGCTTCTAAGGACTATCCTGGCAGTACTTCCCCTGGCAGTCTAAGGTGAAGGACACATTCTTCAACATCAGAGTTCAAAGCCAACAATTCCTCTGCAGTCTTCCTTATTCAGCTTTCGAGTACATATGAAGTGACGGAAACTTCCAGAGCTTGACCACGCACACTAACGTTCTCAAAGCGAAATCTTGGCTCTGAAGTATTTTAAAGGAGTCTTAGAGCAGACTTGCCCAGTGCAATGACACAGGCCATTTGGTTTCTTGACTGCCGTTTTCATGTGCTTGGGAATAATGCTGTCCTGGACACTGGTATACCAACAGCCGTGTGAGTAGCTGATTTTAAGTTGGGGGTGGTGGTTTATATACCTAGACATGGACTTGCTAAGTCATATGGCAATTCTATGTTTTACTTTTTGAAGGATGACCACACTGGCTTTGCTATGTTATAACCCACCAGCACGGCACGACATACCCAGTTTCTACATCTCCTCAACAGAATTGCAAGCTTCTTGTTAAAGTCATGGGTGCCTAGGAAATGCTCTGAATGAGTTTCCCAAAAAGGCGCAGCAGGCCTGGAAGAGTAGCACTCGGCCTCTCTCTTGGGAGCAGAAAAGGACCATGAGATGGAAGAGCTCATCCCTGGCCTGCCGAGAGAGTGTGTCTGTCTCCTGGCCCTAAGCCATTGTTCCTCAGGCCACACTTAGCTACCTAGTAGTGTAAGCACTAACTAGCTGCCTTCTACTCAAGGGACGCAGGCCTGTCACCCACTCACAACGGGTTTTCTCCTTCTGTCCACTTTTTGTTTGCAGCTCACATGACCCGTGGGCACAGCCTGAGCAGAGCTGACTCTGAAGGGCATTGCAATCAAGGGCTCAGGCGCCAGCCATGCTTTGATGTGAGTCCGTATTCCTAGCTCATTTACCTCCTTCTAGGGGTGGTCCTCAGGTGTCTCCGTGGAGACCTTCACACTGTTCTCAGCATCTAATAGACCGACATGTTTGCTAGCCTCATTTAGGAAGGAATTACTTTCACCTTTGAGAAGGACATGTAGGCCCTTCTAACCCCCTATGCCCCTGCTCCCAGTTGCCTGCACCAATTCTGATATGCCGGTTGGTTGACAAGCTGACACTGATGAGACCCTTGGAGGAACCTCCTGATATCCATGAAACCTGAGCTCTCAACAGCCACCAGAGGTCATGAGCAGAGGCTGAGGGAGCACGGACAATGTGGAGTACTTGTCTTTATACCAAGGACCCCCTGCCCCCTCCCAACCCCCATGGCTGCGCGGTATAGAGTTCACATTTCCAACTTAGCAGCCACGTTGGGGGGGAGGTGTGGGAGCAAGCAAGAGCTCCCCAAGAGCAGAGCTGGAGCCAGGATGTGAGCAGGGAGCCAGGCCCCATGCCAGCCAGGGTGAGCAACAGAAAGCCGCCTTGTTGGGGACTCAGGAGGTGGGACTACCAGGGTAACGGGGCGCCTGGCCTCCTGCTCAACACTAAGGTCAACAAACCCGAAGAACGTTTTCGAAATCCATCGCTGGGATTTCAGGGAAAGAAAGCCAAGGAAAACAGGAGCACAGTTTCTACTGGGGTCCCCGGCTCTGGGTCTGGGCCCTGTGTGAACGTGTGCAGGCGAGCGTACCCAGGGTGGGGCAGCTGAGCACCAGGCCCTGTTCAGGTAGGCCTGGACAGTGCCTGCTTTATCCCCTTGGGCGTGGGGAGGAGGTACCCTGGCCCTGGCTCTCATTAGCAATGGCTTTAAACACTACTTTGTGTGTGTCTTCTGTGCTTGGGTGCAGACCGTGTCCAGAGCTGCCCACGTCACCCGTGGGCCAGACAGAAATCACTCTAAGACGAACTTCATAAGCTGCTTTTTCTTTCTTCTTTTTTAAATAAGAAATGAAACTGGAGAAGGGTGGAGAGAAGAGCACATATATTCTGCTACTGTCATGAAGAAATAAAGCTCATATTTATAAGTTGGGCTGTGGACAGGCTCCAGCTCCTGACCAAAGGCCTTGTGTGTGTAAGGCCTTATGACCCTCCTCACAACCCATGCCATCTCCATCTGACACATGGGAAACACTGGAGGTGGGTGATGGTAGTCAGAACGCTTTAACAAAGCAACACCAAATTCCTTTAGAGTTCTCAGAGTCAACGGCTAGTCATCAGCCATTCACCACCCACGAGCACTTACCAGCCACAAGAGGTACACCGCAGTGAGGAGAATGTGAGCAGCATCCGTGTAGTTGAGGACGTGGCGCGGTCAGGGGTGGGGGGCGGGTGGTCCCTGGCAGAGGGGCTAGGTTCCCGTAGTTGATCTTGAGAACTGAGTGGAGGTGGTCTGGGGCAGGGTGTATGTGGTGATGGGAAGGGCTAAGGGCCCAGGGCAGAGGTGGGTGTAGTATGTAGAGGGGGTGAAGGTCTGCCCCGGGACACGTATAGGCCTTGGGTCTAATCTCAGGTTGCAGAACTGGCCAAACCCTGGGCGTGGGCAGTACCAGGAGCCATTTCCCTGTGAGAGAGGTCAAGGTTAAAAGGTGGGAAGGAAGGGTGTGCAGAGACACACAGGACAGAGATGGGCTTGGGCTTGACGGTGAACCCTCAGCAGAGGCAGCGCCAGTCGGAGAGAAGGCCCAGCTGCCAGCCTGTTTGGCCAACACAGCAGGTGCTTGGCCTGCCAGAACCCAGATACGAATCGGGTGTGGAGAGAAGTGTGCCTGGGCAGGTGGGGAAGGGGCTGATATGTCCTGGTATAAGAGAATACAGACTCATTTGCCTCTTTCGGCTCTCCAGGGGAAAGCTGGTTCATGAGAACCAGGGCTGCGTCATTTGCATGTTGTAAATAAGCAATCCTGGAAGGCCTTAGTTGTAAGAATCATGTCTGTTTCCACGAGGAGGAAGAGGGGCCATGTCTGCTATGACTCTTTCTCTGTCCAAGAACACGTGATCCAGTTGTCCCCTCTCCTTGCCTCCCCTCACAGCAGCATATTGTTCGCACCCAGTCTAGAACACTGTTCCCCTCCCACATTTCCCCTGAGCTCACCTTTTTTATAACAGGCACGGCCAGGAAACAGGTGACTACGGCTGGAATGTCCAGAGCCCTCTGGGGCATGTTTAAAGGACACATGCCTTTGAGGCTGTAGATGTAGATCTTCTGGTCCTGGACAGAGACGAGCATTGCCGTGAGCCTAGGTTTGGGAACACCTGGAACATGCCTAGAGAAATTCCCTAGGGGGACTTTGTGCATTAAAAAGCAACCTATTTTGAGCTTTTCCAGATTGTCATTTATGAGTATTTTCATTTTTTATAGAAAAGTTGCTAACCTATTACCCAGAGAAGGTTTTGGGGAGAGGGGAATATCCTTTCCAGAGTTTCCTGGGGTATTAGTGTGTATGCATTACAGAAAAAAGTAGATCACACGCTACACCATGGCTTTCTGTTTTTCTTGTCATGTCATGGTACACAGCAGGCACATCCCCTTATCTGCACCCAGTCTAGGGCCCAACAGTACTTCAACTCTTCAAATTTCAACCTGGCTCATCATTTGCCTAATCTTCTGCCACCAAGTTTCATTGCTACATATTATACTGGAAGGAACATTCTTATAGACAAGTTTTTTCTCTGTGTGTATCTTGACCGTTAGAACCCATTCTGAAGACTGGCATTACTGAGGCTCAAGTGGATAGGTTTGAGATTTGGGAAAAATGCTTGAGTTATCTTTTCAAATTGCCATCCAGCAAGGTGGTGCCCATTTGTGCCCCACCATCAGCTTCTGGGCATTTCTCCTAGATTCCTCTCTCGATTGCCCAGGGGACAGCTCCCTTGGCCTTCTGGTGACTTCTCTTATATAAATACATGAGCCCTTCAGTGTGGAGTGGGGCTGTTGTGTTACTGGAAACAAAATCATTTCACCAACCTACTGGGTTTTCTCCCTTTGCTGAGAGTCTACCCCTGATTGGAGGTGACCCAGTGAACGAGTGAAATGAACGACATTCCTTCCGGATCTCACAGGTAATGAGCTGGGGTGAGAAAAAGCTTCACCTGTTTATCTGACAGTCAAATTTACTCGGGTGTGCTGTGTTTTTGTTTGTGAAGTCCGGCCACTCTGGGAATGGCCCTTGGGCGGTGCCGTCCCACTGCGCTCAGACATTACCTCCGTCGCTGTCCACAGAGAACTCTGGAACTTGAGCTGACAGCTCAGCTTCATCCCCACACAGCTCATCCTCTGCACTTCCAGAAGGCCCTTTTCTGTGTTCACCACGGTGTAGTTCCTGCAGTTGGCGACAGTTGTGCGGTCAGTTCATGGTCACCAGAACTGCTTCACAGGAGAGCGCACATTATTCATATCTGGGACCCAGGCCACAGAGAGCACTTCGGCTGTGTGCTGAGAGAATCATTGTTACGGTCAAAGAAAAGTAATTCCCACGAGGAAAAATATAAGCCTCCTCTCTCTGTAATTTGGCAGGGGTCAGTTGCCCCCACACTCCTCACGTTGGGCCTTTCTCTCCTACTTTTCCTTACCCCACGCACACGGGGGGGGCTCCTCATCAGAAAATTAGATAAAGCCACAGCTAAAAACAATGTGGGCTAGTTTTAAGGCAGGAGGTTCAAAACGTGCCTCACAATATTGGCACTCTGACAGTTCACAGGAGGCTGCGGGGTCCCCAGAGTCCGTTGGAGACTCACTGGTATGGACCCGGCACTACTCCGTCGCTCTTCTCTGAGCAGGAGCTCGGTGGCCACTGCACAGAAGGCGATGGGAGCTTGGGGAGGGGCAAGTCGCACAGCCCTTCCCACCAACGGAGAGATTTAAGTTTGCAGATAGTACTTCTCAGTTTACATTTTCTCCAGTCATCACATTTTGGAAACTTTTGCCATTGGGGGGGAGGGGGGGAGAAACCCCCAAACAGCAAATGCAACCTTAAAAAAAGTTATAATCCTCCTCCCTAAATTTTTCAGTCTTTTCCTTATGCATTTAAAAATCCACTATTAAGATTTTGCAAATAGCTTTGAAATTTACTTTGAATGCCACTTGTTTCTTGCTTGAATATGGGTTAAACGATCATTTATAACAAGAAATAATGTTGTCAGCTGTCACCGAGTCAGCACGATGGAGCGGGATGCAGCGCCATCCGGCACCATCCCCACAGTAGGTGGGCTGATCAGATGTCTGTGATCCAAAGTTTTCCCTGCTGGTTTTGGAAGTGAATCACCAGGACTTTCTTCCTAGTCCTTAGGAGTTTAAAAGCTACACTGAAACTGGCATCACAGAAATATGAAAGTCTATGTTAACAGATGGGTGGTAACTATACTTGACGTGCATTTGGCCAGAAATTGAACAGGGACTCCCACATGGAAGGGAATCACCAATGATTTTAAAATGTACTTTGAACAAAGTAAAACACATGGAAAGGCGACTTGTCCTATTTGTATCCTCTTGATATGCTCTCCCATTTTCTTCCTTCTCCTTTCCTTCCGCCATTTGCAGGTCACTCTTGAATACCCTTGGTGATAAAGCCAGTGCCACAGGCTCCCTGCCCCTCAATGCCAGGGTAGAACCACCCTGTAAATTTGCTCTTCTTCAAGCTGGTGGTAACTTTTAAAAGGCCCTCACAGGTCCCAGAAAGAGGCTTCTCTTTTCCCTGGAGACGAACTTTCCCACCATTGAACAGGGCTATTTTGGATTTCCTGTGGAAGTCTGTAAAACTAAAAAGGTACAGGGTCAGCAGATGGGTGGAGCCCCACGGGTAGCACTAGGTCTTGAGGAAAAATTCCTACACCTCGAATCACTGGGTCAAAGAGTATCAGTATCTATAAGAAACTTAATTATAACACACAAACAAAAAATAGTTTTTTAACTTTGGTAATAAAATATACTACTTGCTTTGATTTGAGTGCAACTCATAGCAACCCCAATTGTGTCTGAATGGACGGCTCAGTAGCATTTTCAATGGCCGGCGAGAATTAGATGGTCAGGTCTTCATTCTGAGGTGCCTGAACCTCCAACCCAAAGGGTTAGCAGTAGCTGTGTACCCCAGCCAGGGACTGCAAGGCACTCATTCATCACCACTGGAAATTTGTTTTTAGACTTATGTGCAAAAGTGCAAACTCACCAGCAGAGCGTGGTACACTGTCAACAGCATCCATTGTCATCTTTGAAAAATCCTTGGTAGGGCCAAAATAAAAAGGGAGGGGCATCTTGTAGGCTGAGTTCATATTTCTTTGATTTCTAGTGAGCCTGAATGTTACTATGTCTGCTCTGCTCTTCCTCTAATTATTCATGGTCCTTACCTATATGGCTATCGAGATTGCTGTATTATTTTCTATTGATCTTATAAATAAAAATATAATAACTTCCTGAATAAACAGGATAAGGAGAGTCAGGAATAAAAGGTGAGGGAATTGATGACTAACTGTCTTCCTGAACAAAGCTGCTGCTGCTGCTGTGAGCCCAGAAGCACTGAAAAGGACCCGTAGGCTGCCATCACTGAACATTTTGATGAAATATTCTCTAGAATCTTGGCCAAGAAGGGGAAAAATGCACAACAGAACTTTAAATCTCATTGAAGCTAGACTTTCTGGAGCCGTGGAAGCTGGATGAGCCCCCAAAACAACTGCTTTAAGATACTCTTAAATCTTAAATCAGAATACTCCGGAAGTCTTCTTAAAACAAATCAATAGCCGAGCTGGCAATAAAGTAGCCCTTGTGCTTTGTGCTCCTTTAAGATCTATCAATACGGGAATCAAACTTGCAACAGCAAGTGAAAAGATTAAGTAGCAAACTTACAGAGCAGCGACTTTGCGTTAGCGAGAGAGGAACAATTTGGAAAGGGGGTAGGAGAATTGTTGCACAATTTGAAGGGTGTAATTAGTGTCACTGAATTGTATATGTGCAAACTGTTGAACTGGCATATGTTCTGTTGTGTATATTCTCAACAACAACAAAAAATAAAATGAATTGCTTTTTAAAAGTCTGTAGTATAGTAGATATCAAACAATATGGACAAGCGGAGACTTCCAGATACAAGCCTTCCTGTTTGAGTTTAAACAAACCATTGGCATTTTGAGGAGCTTCAATTCACATGATAAAATCACTATAATTCAGTCAAAACATGGACTCAGTGGCAGTTTTGACTTGAAATAAAATTTTTGTCCAATTAAAAACGATAATACCTTTTTCTTTTTAATATTTGTTTAAAACACTTTCCATAGTTGTTGAATAAATTAGTATTGATAGAGAACACATATTATATTCAGTTTCATTTTTATATGCACTGGTAGGCATCTTCATTTTGCTTTACATGTAAACCTGTGATGTTTATGTGTAAAAGTAATGTATTGTCATTACCATAAAAAATATGACCATAATTCCTGATATGCTGAGACTGGGACAGTCTACCCAAAGCATTGTGAGTTTTGTATGCTCTGCCCTAAGGAGTCTGAAAACCACTGACTTGTCATTTGAACTAGAAATCCCACTTCTGAAAAATCACCCCCTGCCCCCTTTCCTCCCTCCCTTCGCCTCTTTGAAACAGAGGACAGCACAGTGTAATTCAGATTCACCATCTGACTTCAGTGATTCTACCTCAATGTATTCTATGTGGCTTCGTTGATATCTCTGCCCAAGTCCCCTCTCCCAGGCTCCTGGAAGCAAATCCCTTGGAAGCAATCATTTCATCTGTAAGGGTACCATCCATGATGGTGGCTTCTTTATTTCAATTACTTCTTTCTAAGTTATTAGGGAAAGGCCGTCTCCCTAAATCCTGGCCTCTCAATTCCCTGGTCTCCGGTTCTTTCCTCAGTGATTCTCTCTCCATGTTCTGTCAGCTGCCGCCGTTCAAGGCCACCATCCAGAGTTTGTCTTCACTAATCACCACACCCTACACAAACTTAGTGTCATTCAACTACCTAACTACCATCTCCCCCTTTTTTGGTATAACAAATGAAAACCAAAACCACCATCAACAAAAACACTGCCACCGAGTCTTTTCCAAATCAGAGCAAGCCTACATGATATGTATGAGATTACACATCTTCATGGGAGCCGATGGTCTCACCTTTCTCCCATGCAGTAGCTGGTGGGTTTGAACTGCTGCCCTGGGGGTTAGCAGTTTAACACCTAACCCACAGTGACACCAGCTGCCTTTTTGTACTTTGCCAAAGCCTAGATCTTGGTTACTTTTCATTGTTCCTCACTCATTGCTGCTTTAACTTTTGGTTCTACTATTTATTCATCTCTATGTGTAACTTCTTGAAAATACACTTGACTTTGTCTCCTTTCACCATTCTCACAAAGCCTAACTGCTTAAAACCACCCTGTTGCCTATGCCACATGGCTGGGGGAATAAAAAAAGGAAAACGAAAGCATTAAAAAGTTGGCTATCCTCCCAGCAAACACATGATCCTTGCTGGAAAAAATGGGAAAGCAGTCTATGCCACAACTCCCATCTGGGCCACCTCATCAGACATTTGGGGCCTAGAACAGTCTCGGATAATGGAGGGTGGGAACTGAGTGTCTCGCTCTCTCTCCCACTTCCTACTTCCTTTTGGGGGACCTCCTTTCTCTGCTCGAGTGTGTGCATTTATAGCTCCTGAGCCACCCCCTTTACCTATTTGTTCCTGGTGGGGAAGGAAGGAGGTCTCAACTGTGGCACAAGAGGGGTGCATGTAGATCACAGACTCCACAACAGCACTGAGGTGTGGCCTGCAGCCTATAGGGGACCATCACGTGCCACTGAAGCTGACTGTACTCTGTTTCTTCTTCATATGAGTAAACCTGTGCTTCATCCAATACCTGTGGGAACCGTGCTTTTGTCGGAGGTTCCCTCCTGCTCGCAAACGTGGCTTGACTGTTTGGGGAAGGGAGCACATTTGACAACCTCTCATCTCACTGAAGTCCCTCAGGGCGACCCTATAACCGCCCAGGACTTGCCCTCCCTCGCCTTGTTGCCTGCCTCACACATTCCGTTTTCTCTAAAATTCCCAGCATGTCTTGCCATTCACTAGTCCTCCCTGCCACCACACGGAGAAAACAGATGCAGTTAAGGGAGTACCCACAAACTCTTCTTTAAGGATGACTCTCTTACTTTGCACTGAACCCTTGTCCCTTCTCAGCAACTCAGGGACATCATTCCAGTAACTGTCCCTTCCCCCGGCCACATCATCACCAACCTCCTCTATAATCAAGCTGCAAGTAGCTCTCCTATTAGAACAACACCCCTCTCATCACACAGGCACCCATTTATATGCTTCTCTTAGCTGTAGAACTCTACAGGAATTGTAAACAAAAGTTTGCTGAAGAATGGAATTAAATAATGATGGAATTACCACCTGAACTTTTTGAAGCCCCACTCATAGATAAATGTGGGCTCAATTTCCTCTGTCCCTATTCTCCTGGGAGTGGACTCTAGTCAGGCTTCCCACCCCAGCCACAGAAAGATCTCCCATCCGGGTTGTTGACTCTACATTGCCAAATTCCACGGTCACTTCTCATTGAAATATAAGCAAGGTGCTAGGAGCCTTAAAGATTACCTGGATTCTTCTTTCCCATCCCAGAACACCACGTTGTACTCCTGGCCCTGAGATGAGAAGAATGACGTCTGCTTCCCACAGGGCAGCAAGTACATGAAGGCTGCAAAGGTTGGATCCTTCATTTGGCTCACCACGGACAGGGCAATGGGCCGCTGAGGGGGAGAGAGTCCATCAGGTTAGGATCAAAGGTTATCTACAACCTAATCAGTATTGATTCTACCCAAGAAACTGGCTTCTTGAATGAGAGAGAGGATATGATCCATATCAGCTGATTCAGGATTTGATCAGATGATATGACAAACCCTTCCAGCCATCTAAGCCATCACTGGCCATGACGACTGGAAACCAGAACTCAGCCTAGTCTAAACCCCAGGTTGTCCAATGCTCATGCCAAAGGATCAACCATTTCTGTAAAGAATTTTCCTGAATCTCATTTATTCCCAGTACATTAAACCGTTTAACATGATAAATGAGCTCAGAGACCATAGGTCTTTAAAAAAAACCCACTAACTTAAAAACTCCAATGTGTCTCATGAGCAAGCATTTCCACTCCTCCTCCCATTACTCTTGCATTGCTATCAAAGCGATGGATGGATTCTGTTTGTGTGATGACATATAGAGGGGTGAGGAGGGAAACGATTTCTTCCTGAGAGTGGCATGCACATAAAGAAAATGAGACTAGCTATTTTAGGAGAAATTGCGATTTCTCCTAAAGAAGAGGTTAAGTAAGCAAAATCAGGAGCCTGTAACTGTCCCGGACCCTTAGTGCAGAGTGTGTCTGTGACTAGTCACACAAGGTGCTCCGCACACTCACATCCTATACAGCCTTTACAAGACCCCAGGTCCTCCCAGCTCCGTGCTTCAGAGGTACCTTCTCAGGTTTGGTGTCCCAGCACTCCATCATGAGTGTCTGAAGGCGGTGGAACTGCACTTCCTCTGGCTGTCCCAGCACTGGACGAATACCCTTGGATAGCTTCTTGGCAATCTGGAGCTGGTGGTGGCCCAGCTCAGGCCGCTGTCCTGACAACAACTCATAGAGTACCATCCCGTAGGAGAACATGTCCACCTGGAGAGAAAGTCAAGCCAAGTTAGGTTCCCTGACTGGGCCCAGCAGCTTCTGCCAGCTGGGCCCACAGTTGAGGGAGCAAGGAAACACAATTAGAGAAGGAAATGTGGGCCTGGCCCAAAGGGAGACCATTATCAATCTAATCCCCAGTGCATCCATCCTTCTCCACCTATCCAACCATCTAATCAATTACCTGACTGACCATCTACTGCCCATCTGTCCACCTCTTCATTCATTCAGTCATCTATCCACCCATCGCTTCTTCTTTCTGTCCTTTCTCCCATCTGTCCATACATCTCCCCATCCACTCACCTATCTACCTATCAGTTCATCAATTGACCCATCCACCTACCTGCCCATGAATCCAGTAACTGTTTTGACAGTCTTTGGCTTTGGACCCAGCTAGTTCCTTGCAGTGCATGCCTTTGGCTTAGAAGACTTTACCAACCTGATTTTGTCTGCTTCTCACAATAACCCTGTGGGCCGAGTCTACGAGGAGGTACCAAAAAAAACCCCAAACCTGGAATAGCACTGGGCAGAATGGAGCTTTCTTAGTATGCATTTTTCCTGCTAGGTGAGCATGGAGCAACTCATTCTGAAATAGTGTGCACCCAGTGGCATCACCTGGGAAGGTTCATTCTGGTCACAGTGAATTTTTTCATGAAATCAGTTTAACTCGAACCTTGTTTTTTGCGATGGCTGATTTAAGAGAGCAGCATGCTGCTGTAAAATTTTGTTTCCTACTGGTGAAAATGCGGCAGAAACTGCTGTGATGTTGAACACAGCTTACAAGGATAGCGCTATGGGAAAACTCAAGTGTATGAGTGGTTTTCTCATTTCAAAAAGGTGAAATGTCCATTGATGACAAATCTCAATCTGGATGTCTGTCATCTTCCCGAATGGATGAAAATGGGGACTTGTAGTGCATTTGGAGTTTGTTCCACCAGGTGCGACTGTTAATCAAGCTTTCTATTTAGAGGTTCTGAAAAGATAGCATAACAGTGTGCAACAAAAAAAGGGCTTGTTTGTGGCAGATGGGGGATGGTTTTGCCACCACAACAATGCATCTGCTCACACAGCCATCTCAGTGCACCATTTTTTGGCAAAAAGCAGCATGCCTCTCTTGCCCCATGCACCTGACTTCACTCCATGAGACTTCTTTTTGTTTCTGGTTATAAAGAGAGTCATGAAAGGATAGCAATTTGATGATGTAGAAGGGGTGATTTGAAAAACAAAAAAAGAGGGAGGTGCTGACAGCCATCCAAACAGAAGAATTTGAAAAATGTTTCCAAGAATGGAATTGCAGATTTGACAGCTATATTAAGTGTAATGGAGAGTACATTGAAGGGGATAAGGTTCTCCGTAAAATAAATTTTTTTTAATAGATAGCTTTGAGGGGAAAAATTCCGGTTCTTTTTGGTGGGGGGCGGGGGGTTACTGCCTCATATGTCCCCACTTGGCACCTGGAAATGGCAGAACCATTTACTTCCTAGTCTCTTTGTCCACTCTGTTACACCCTCCACAATGTCTCTGAATTAAGGCCTGAGAAGTCTGAGGTGAAATCATATTTTCTGAAGCTAAGAAGATATTAACTTATCACAACCAATCAGACATATACGCCTGTGTCCTTCCTTACTGAGCCAGGACAACCCTCACTGAGCATAGGGAGGGAGGGAAGCCTGCTTCAGGGGCACTGGAATCACGACTCGGTGGCATGACCAGATCCAAATGGCACATGGATTACTGTCTGGTGGGGCTGAGCTGGGTCCACAGGGTTGGGCTGGGGTCGGTACCTTCTCATCATACACAATACGAGGCCTGACTTCTGGAGCCTGGTAGCCAGGTGTGCCCTCTACGCCCAGGGCACCCTCATGGAAGGATTGCCGGGAGATGCCATAGTCAGACAATTTGATGTTGATGTGCTCTTGTACATCCAGGGACCAGACCAGGATGTTGTCTGACTTCAAGTCACAGAAGATGATGTTTTTCTTGTGCAGGTAGGCCAGACCAGAGGCAATCTGATAGGCTATTTTGTGGGTGAGCATATGTCCCAGGGGCATAAAGGAGGAGTCTAGGAAGAAAAAGAGGTATCATCATAACAACTGTCTTCCTCTGGGAAATCTTTCTTATTGTACTTCTGATTGTTCACACTAGGTGCTCAAAGGGAGAGAGGATGATCATAAATGAGATATTATTCAGGATAAACATGTGGTTATAGCTTCATTCATGAGTCTCAGACTTGAAATTGCTGGTGTTTTTACTAAAACAGCAGAGATAACAATTCTTAGAGTCAATCTCCGGCCAATGTTGCTTACTGTCAACAGGTTAAACTATTGGGGTAAGAATTGCATTTCAAACCTTCCCTCTTATCAGGGGGAAAATGATTCCTTTTTATAGTATGGATTCTTCTCTTGGCAAAAGGCATGTATTTTTCTCTCTGTTAGCTATTTTGGAAGTTATTTTTTCATTTATCAAGGCAAATTATTTAAAATTTTGTTAAAATTGAAATATGATCAAACTGACCCAGAGTCTCACAGTTTTAATGACAGCCAGCATGTTATGATTTGTGTTAGCTACTGGTGAATCAATCCTGACTCTTGGCAGCCTCACACACAACAGAATGAAATGTTGCCTGGTGCTGGGCCATTCCCAGGGTTGGCTGAACACTGGATTGTTGTTATCCATAGAATTTTCACTGGGTTTTCAGATTTCCAGGCCTTTCTTGTAAGTTGTCTTACTCCAGAAGTCCCACTGAAGCATGCTCAACATCATGGCAACACACAAGCCTCCAATGAGAGGCAGGTACTGGTTGTGCTTGTAGCGCATTGACCAGGGCAACGGAGTAGCCCACACAGGACAGCAAACATTCTACCATGTGTTACACATGGAAGAAGCACACCAGCCTGTGTGACCCAAAGATGATGATAACAAAATCCAAATATGATGAAGGGAAAAGTATCCGAGCTTACATTGTGAACACCCAATTTCTAGAAGGTTATGGAAGACAGTAGGAGTCCCAGATACACCTTTCTCCACACACAGGACATGCCACATGGAGGCCAGGCTTGCCTTGGGCTTGCTTAGGTTCCCTGGTCTACACTTGGGCTTAGGGCAGCTGGGCCAGGGGAGAGGGGCAGGTTCTTGGTTCCCTTCTGGCTAGCCCTGCCTGTCACAGTTTTTGCTAGGACCTCTGACCTCATAGTGTTTTTGAAGCCACTGAGCTGGGCTCCTGTGGAACATGCTCTGCGGTGGGTACCTTTGGCATTCTCTGATAGCACGGTGTTGAGGCTGCCCAGTGGCGCGAGCTCCAGAGCGAAGCAGAGCGGGTGGATGCTGATGCCAATGAGCGAGACGATGCAAGGGTGCTGCAAGGCATGAAGCATGCTGGCCTCCTGCCGGAATTCTGAGAAGTTCTTCATGGCGTCTGTAGCCCGCAGGTGCTGTAGCATGGTGTCTGCCAGGGAAGGCATGTGGTCAGTGTCAGCCAGGGAGAGGGAGTGGGGGGATGGGGATGGGGTTGGGAAGGAAGGGCCAGGTAGGGACTAGAAAAGGTCTGGGCCCAGGCTCTGACCAGGCAACCCTCTCCGTCGTCACATGGAAGGTCCCCGCCAAACTCAGAGGTACTTCCAGAGATTTAAAGAGTTGGGCAGGGCTAGATTTGAATTTTATGGTACTCATCAGGATATTAGGAATTTTGGCTCTTGGACACCCAAAAGTTGGCTCCAAATAGTTGCATTACAGAGGCAGGCTAAACTGAATCGTTACTAAACAAGATATCAAAACCACCTCCTCCTGAAGAGCTTCTCTTGTCTGTCACATTCAGCATTTGTTCAGTACCCACTGGGCTCCTTCACACCTCCTATTAATTGACCTGTGTCTGCACAAGATATATGTTGAATCTTCAGCCCTGCATCAATGACCATGACCTTGTTAGCATTAGAGTTTTTCTTTGAAGATGTTCTTAGTTAATTTAAGGAGGTGGTGGAAGAAGGCAGGCATCCTAATCCTAGTCCTCTGTGAGAGGTGTTTCCTAAAAGAGGACAGACATATAAAACAGAGTCACAAAGGCATGTGAGAATCTCTATATAAGAAATGCCTAATGCCACCAAAGCTGAAAGATAATAGGATGGATCAACCTAACACTGATCCACCACCAAACACGTCAGACGCTGTTTGGGCATCGAAGAATCACAGAAAGTGGATGTGAACTCTTCAGTCTGGGCACATGTACTCTGTTGTTTATCTGGATGGGGGTGGAGTGGGGGGTTGGTGATCAAATATCGTTAAAGTAATCAGTTTTATAGGCTTTCGGCTTCTTCAGTAGTGCAATACACTGAAAGTGTCCATCCAAGAGTCAGTCACTAATAGATCTGTTTTTATACTTAAACAAGATGAAATCAAGCAGATTTAAAATAGTTTCAATGGAGGGAAGGGGGGTGTAGAAAGGGGGAATTGATCACAG